CTTTAATGGCAGCCACAAGGCTTGCTGATAAAATAACTTTTATTCCTGCCCCATTGCACTTGCGTTGGCTGTTCCTGAAGCCATCTGGGAGTGAAAGTCCCATCAGGCAATTGTGTCCTGTTAAGTTCACCACTTTCATTGTCCTATGTTTCATGGGGGTTTGACGCAGACTTTTCATCTGCTATATTTTTCATTTTTAAAAGATAAAGTGGTCTTAAAGACAAGGTTAGCAAGAAGTTTATTTCTTGCTGCTGAATTATTTATTCCTATTTAAGCTCCGGCAAACAGCCCGCATTTAATAGTCCATTACCGCTTAGATAGCTGTCAATGCAAAAAGGGCAATCCTGAAAAATACTGTGTTTAGTGGCTCTATCAATGCTCTCTGTACTACTGTTCCTTCATTTTTATGATCAAGAGCACAGAATAGAAGCCCAGAAATTACCTGAGCTGCAAACTTCAGGGTGCTTTAATCTACCAAGACTAACAACCAGATAAATTCATGCAAGAGCTAGAGTGAAGATTTTTCTTGATTAGGCTGGTTTCCTAAGAGTGCTTATGGATTCTGCATCAGTCGATGTCTTCAAATCAAGACATGATGGATGTCTTAGACAATTCTGCATCTCATCTGCCAGATTTCAAGGGAATGCGGGAGCAGTGGGTGAGATTTCTTGCCTTGAGTTAAATAAGTGGTTTGGTAACATAAAGGCAATTTTTGGCCTTCTGCAATTCTGGCCCAATTTTGATTTTTACCTCCTCTCTATTCCCTGAGCCCCCCCAGAACTGGTTTTCATGAAGCATCTGCCATATCCTGAAGCAACCTCCAAAATACTGATTTAGAAGTAGATTCAGGTTTCAGAACAACAATGTTGTCCTCCGATCAGCCATGCAAGATTTGAAGCTCAAAAGCACTCAGGTCTAGAAGTGTATCTTCTATGGTTGCTTATTTCTTATCAGATACTTCATCACCAGTGGATTTTTTCTATATTTTGTAGATAATCACGCTCTAATAGTATAAAAGGAGATTTAGTACAAGGCTATATTCTTGGAGCAGGTGATTCTGGGCAGAGGCTGGATTATTTAGGTGTCCAAAGAGCCCCGTTGTGAAAAACACGGAACACACCTCCCGCCTTCCCGTTACATCCCTTTGGAAAATTGCCCCTGGCATCTACTGTTCAGCATCCTGTACAACTCAGGCTTTATGTAATTTGAAGCCTGCTCAAGCAGGCAGACCCTGATGGACAGATATAACAAGTAGCTCCCTGAGTAAGTGAGCTAATGAAGCCTCATTTTCTTATGGATTTGTGGCTTATGTTGGATTCGCTGATGTTTGGTAACAGCTGGGTTTATAGCGCTGCCCTTCTTTCAGAGGACAACGATACAGTTTCCCTCCTTTCTTTAGCCATTGATTTTCACATAACTTAAGAAGCTAATATTCTCAGGTTTTCTAATGCCTGTCGGATTTCCTTGATTTTTGCCAATGGTACCAAAGGCATTGAGAGAGAGGGAGGATAAAACAGGATAGATACAGATACAGACACACACACAGAGATATCTTTTGGAAACCAAGCCAAATATTTCAAGAGTACTATAGAATCTTAATAGTGTGAACTACATTTTCTCCACCAAGAAAAAAAGTGTCTGATGTATTAAAAAAATGCAAAATACAAAAAAAGTCCTTCTATATGATTTTGTGCTGCACTTTGCACTGCATAACGAGGTAAAATCTTGTAGGCTAAGTCTGTCCATCTCAGAAAAAACTGTCTTTCTCTGAAAAAACTGTCATGGTAATCTAAGATGGTGCAATCTCAGGGAATGAACTGCAGGCCAACGGTTCTTTTTTACCCCCCAAAAAAGCAAAAGTAAGTTGAACGGCACGCACACCATATAGCGCACTGAACGAGAGGCTCTGCTGCTGTCAACTTCTAGTTGGAGTGAAGCCCATGAAAATGTGCATAAGAGCCTATCTGGATGAGGGTCAAATGTAGGAAGGATCTGTGCCTGTGAGCTGGAGCAATGCAATGTTAGATGATCTTTGAAAAATAGGCCGGGATGTTGATGACACGGCCTGTTGCATGGTCGTGCGTGTGTGGCTGACAGACACATCACCACTGCTGCTTCTCAGGGAGCTTTGGTCACTGGAGGTCTTCTACCAAAAAGGACCCATTTAAAAGGAACTTACTCAAATTGATCTTTGTGGTCAAAAAGAGACAAGCTGCTGCTACAAGTTTGTATTAAGATATGTAAGAGAAGAGCCAGAGCAAATTGTGGACTTGAGAAAAGTCTTTCCCTTTGTTATGGATGCAGCCTTTATGTTACCTTGTCAAGAATAGTCTTTACCATGAGAGCAGAACTTAAGAGCCGGATGAACAGATATTTTATGTTTGTAACTTGTTCCCCAGCCTGCTTTCCACTGGATGGACCTGGGATTTCTGAACACCTTCCTGCACAATCAGCTTGGCCTTGCCGGGTCACTGCTTTTTGGGGAGAGTATCCCACAGATCTGCTTTTGCTCCAAGCCACTTACGAGCAGTTCCAGAGGCGGAGAGTTGAGACAGCCTTTCTGGGAACAAGGGCAGAAAATAGCTCAGTGTTAGCATTCCAAACCCAGCTATTTAGACCTGGATTATTTTTAAATATTTTGCTTTCAGACACATAACTAGCTGCATTTTCCTCCTCTTTTTTCTTTTTTTAAAGTGAGCTTTAATTTTGCATCTTCTCCCCACCCAGTTGTATGCAATCAAGAGTATCTATGCAAAAAAAGAGTTATTTACATGGCTAAATGTTGGGGAGCTAACTTACCTGCTACTTTGGAGATTTCGTTGGCTGCAATGGGAACCTGGGGACTATTTGAGCCTGGACGTATGTTTGCAGGGCAGTTTTGCTGGGCAGTTGAATTGACAGGAGTCAGGGCAGCAGCAAGTGGAAAGAGCTGCAGCCACCTTGTTTCACCCGGCCGTCATCGCACGTCATCAGCCTGAAACACAGCCTCGGATGAGGCGCTGTGCGAAGGGTCGGTACATGGCAGCCTCATCTGGCACGCGATGTCCTGGCGTTCAAGTACAAAGCCTTTCACCGAGAGTCAGGCGAAGTGGTTATGGTGAAACACTGCTGCCGAAGCTGTAGTGTCTTACAGTCACTTCACAGGGTACAACGTGATAATGTGTAGGGCTTTTAGGGAATGTTGCGTCCTCAGAGCACTGCACAGACCTTAATTCATCCTCTGTGGATGATGCATGCCCAGCAGGGGACACATATCCCCTTCAAATTGCAGCTGCGTGGCCTGGAGGGGGTCCCATTTTCTGGCTAGCCCTCACTGCTAGCCATTAGCCCCTTTTTGGATGTTGCAGACCCTCATGTCTGATGGCTCGCCCATCCCAGCATAGTAAGCTGGGTTCAGAAAGACCTGCTGCTTAAAGTGGGTTTAGTAACTCATGCTCATTGTTGGGGTCCAGACTGGTTTAGATCAAATTAAGCTCTTGGGCACTGAGGCTGTCTCTTGTGGGAAGGAAGGAGCAGATTCCCTCTCATCTTGTAAATCACAGCTAGTTTATAAAATTGATGCAGCCTGCTGAGTAAATAAATTTTAAGAAAATTGCAAACCTCAAAACATTGGGACTGCCTTTTACAGGGCAGGTGGACAGACAGAGCTCACATGAAACACAGGAGGGGAGTTTCTCACACTGGGACACGATCGTGGCATCCCCCTCATGCTGTGAAGGCTAAGCTCCAAGAGGCCACTGAGCATTTCCCATTAAATTGAGGCATTTGGGCCAGCACAAGCACTGGGATGGGAATGGGAGAGGCAAGGGCAAGGCAGGATGTCCCAGCCCTTAATCAGCCCATTTTTCACCTAATGCCTCACAGGTCACCTTACATGCACGCTGTCATATTTTCCTCTGGCCCTGCCCTCCTGAACTGCACTGCGACTCTAGGCTGCTTTTTCCACTTTGCTTTCCCAGTAACCTAAAAGAGATGGGAAAACTTGGAGGCTCTTTTCAGAAAATGTGTACCAGCCTAAAGAGTTTTCCTTACTGCAGAAACTGTACCCCAGAGAAGCAGCAGACCTTGTGGTCTGTAACACCCACCCAAAGGCTGGGTTAACGCTTCTTACTGCTAGCAAGAGCCCTGCTTCTGGCTGCACATGGGGAGAGAATAAAGCTTGTAACTCAGGAAGGGGACAGTCATAATCATCTGTTTGTAATGGGTAAGAAAGAACCGCTTGTTGGAGGGATATAAAAGAAACCTTTAATTCCAGCCAGGATAGTCTAATGCGTTAGCCAAGTGGTAGTAAAAAACACAGTACCACCAGACTCTTGTATGGGGTGCAGGGAGGCTTTGGGGGAGACAAATGCTGTTCTTTACCCTCACAGACCAGCAAGGTTATCTTATTGATAAAACTGTAAGGCTGATGTAAATTCCGTCTTAAAGAAAACTGACATTATTTATATGCGCTGTAATAGCAAATAAGGGCAGAAGTGACACTGGCATTATCTCGTTTGCCACTGTCTGCAGCCAATACAGCTGGTCTTCCTCCATGCAGCTCAGATGAATTGTTGATTTTTGCAGAGATTTTGAGACTGTGCTGACACCGATGGAGTTACATTTATGAAAGAGACCCCAAAACCTTAAAAACAAACAACAAAGTAGTGGATTTTAGCTGCTATGCACTGGATAGACCCAATAAGTAGCTATTATCCTAGATAGATCCTTGTAGGTAGGAGGGTGTTACACTGCTTGGATTCACCAAGGAGCAGTGTCCTGCTTCCCTGCGGTTTGCAAATACTGAGAGTCAGCGAATTAGTAATTGTAGCTTCAAACTAATATAACTTTATTATTTTTTTCTGCATAGCCTTTTAGCACTCTATAAAAAGATCTGGCACACTACATAGGATTAGGCGACTTTGAAGCAGCAGAGTCATCTGGGTGTGAAACTTTGATTTCCTGTGTCTTGAACTGTTATTTCTATCTTTTCTTTTCAGAAAACCCCTACAGCGCATGCCATGAAGGAGGAGAACTTTCTTCGTCGCAGGTTCTCCCTCTGTCCAGCCTCGTCCACCCCTCAGAAGGCTGATCCTCGCAAGCTGACACGCAATCTATTCTTTGGAGCTGACAATGACATCTACCCACTCAGCCCAGGTTGGTTTCTGGTGTGTCACTGCAGAAAGTAGCACGCCTCAGGTACTTGACTGCAAGTAGATATTCTAGCACGCCGCCAGGAAACAAAGAGAAACAAGTTAATGTGAAATAGAGAGAGAAGCTGTTGCAACACATGTATTACTGGATCCCAGCCAGCGCTGCTTTCATGACGCTATTGTCTTTCATTGCCGTGGTGTTAGGTGGGAACAGAGGACATCAGAGATGGGGTTCGTAACCATCTGAACACTGCATGGCCTCACATTTCAAAAATGACTGATGTGTTTGAGTGCATCCACTTTGAGGCACTTGATATGTTTCACCGTAAGCGTTGAACTCATTTAAGATTTACTGGCCCCATTTGTAGATGTTTAATGACAGGTTTCCCTGTTCAGATTTAGAGCCCAGGACAAATATTACAAGAGCAGGCTTTCTATGGTTAATGTTCTGTAAATATCTGCAAGCACTACAAGTACCAGGAATCTTGACAGGTTGCAGTGAATAGCAGACTGTCTTTAAGTGTTCTCTTTACATCTGTTTTGCTTTGAATTTCCTAGCATCCTTTTTGAAGGAAATAGATCTCATTTTATTGTTTCAGAATTTGTTGCTCACAATAAACATTCAAGTCTTTCCTTGATTGCAGCCTGCAAACAATGTTTCTGTTCCAGTCTGTAAACAAGTGCTTCAGGGAACAGTCACAAGTTTGTAGAGCTGTCATTTGCAGCTGCCATGTAAGTGCTAAATAATCAAACCTCACAGCACCTTCGTGAGCTCTCAAAACGCTGATATCTAGAGAAAGAACATAGCATCTGTCAAAAGGTTTCAGTGTTCATATAGGTGTACCACCTGACAGACTCTCTGGGCTTTGCAGATGCAGAGCAAAACCAGGTCTGGGTTTCCTGAGCTAATTGTCTTCAAGTGCAAAGGTTTCAAGGGCCTCTGATTTTGCAGGTATTTCTATTTGTGGCTGTCTGCTTCAAGGCAATGGGGAGCCTGTTTTCAGCAGTGCTGACTAATGCTGTCACTGAGGTTGCTGGAAGCTTCAACAACCTTTTGGTAATCAAATTGAAAACAACTTAAAATGGAACACCTAAATCTCATACATTTCAAACCTATGGGGACTTCTGAACAGCTAGCTGCCCACAAGTACAGTCCATACAAATGTGAGGTAAGTAGCTGTTTCACTTCTGCTGTCCTTGGGAGCTGAAGGGCTGATTTTTCTGGCTGTAGCCACTTCCCCTTGCTTTGGGGAGATGGAGAGCGGTAGCTTAGGGTTTGCCCATTCCTCAGTTCTTACCAGCATTTTCAGTGCTAAAAAAGTTACTGACTTCCTCACAGAGGTATTTCAGTGCTGTAATCTTCCAGAAACCGGGGAAAGTTGAGGGTTTCAGCATGGAGGAGGTAGCTGGAAGAGTTTGTCTCTTTCTCAGCTTGCCCCATCACCTTGTTTCTCTTTGATCCTTGCTGGCAGCCAGACCAAACAGCCTTTGCTGGGGTCAGCAGAACTAGTGCCTTCAGCCACGCTGGAGCTTTTGTTCTGCTGTGCAATTCTCCCAAGTAACCTCTAGCACTGGTGTCAGTGAGGGTGGTTGCCCTCTGTAATGCAAAGGGAGAGCATAGGCCAGAGAGTTTGTAAAGGAGAGAATATCCATTTTAAATAAAAAGTCACTGCTTCATACAGGGGATTTCTTGCAGAGAATCTGAGTTTTTGTCTATCCTTGCTTTTTTTTTTACTCCTTTCATTTCTTGCCTGGTCCCCACAGAGCTGCCTCATCTCTTTGTTTTCCTCACATTTCCCATAAGAAGTAACTGTCATTCTTCACATTCAGTTGCCATTTCCCATGGCAGGCTCTTCTTTCACTCCTTTGCTGCTGCTTCTGCCTCATTTTCCTCTGAGCCTCATGTGCTTCCCCTCACCTTCTCCCTTCCCTCTGAAGGATGGGCAAAGAATTGGATAGATAAGGTCTACGTCCATAAACTGCATCCAATATTTCTCTGTCTCCCATTTTTCTCTGTTGTTTTACATGAATTTTTAGTTCTTGAAGCTGTTCCAGTGGTCTGTGTTTTGCTGCGTGACCCCAGCAGATTTTCTTTACGAGAGCACTGGGCTGATCATGTTGCATGGGTGCTGTGGGCAGTATGGGGAACAAAGCCTAGTGACTTCCTGCCAGAAATTTGGTGGTCTGTGAGGTGGCTGAAGCTGCAGGTCTCACAACACCAACACCTACGGTTAGCGCTCCAACAACGAAGGTGTGCAAGTAAATAATTCAGTGAGCAGGGAGTGACAGACTTTACACTTCAGGCAAGCTATGCTATGGAGATTCAGTTCAGCAG